TAACTAGTTATTTTTATTAAAAACAGATTATTCTGTCACCACTTAAATTATTTAAGTAGTACAGAATTTGCCATCTAATTTAACTTAAATGTCTGGACTTACAGTTTCAATATGTCTAAATAGTTTTGAAATTAATGCTGCCAATTCTCTCATGTTGAGTTTAATGTACATGATAGATATTGCCATTTGTTTACAAGTGTCTCTTTTTCATTTCTTTTTGAAGTTTAATATTATGAATATGTGGTAATAAAATCTCTTTGTCTTCATATTTTTGAGAATGTTTTATTTTTATCCTTATCTATTAACAATATTTGACTAAGTATTCTTATATTTGATATTTAGTTCTCTTTGTTCTGGGTTCTATCAAGGCTGTGTGGATGGTACCTACAAATTTGTGGCTTACCTCTCCTTTTTGTCTCCCTAATTTTAATATTTTTCTTTTTAAAAAAATTTCATGTATCTTTTTTGAGACGTAGTTTTGCTCTGTCTAGAGTGCAGTGGCGCAATCTCTGCTTACTGTAACCTCCACCTCCCAGGTTCAAGCTATTATCCTGCCTCAGCCTCCTGGGGAGCTGGGATTACAGGCACATGCCACAGTGCCTGGCTAATTTTGTATTTTTAGTAGAGATGGGGTTTCACCATCTTGGCCAGGCTGGTCTCAAACTCCTGACCTCATGATCCACCCTCCTTGGCCTCCCAAAGTGCTGGGATTACAGGTGTGAGTCACCACACCTGGTCTTAATCAGTAAAGTGCATTCATTCCTCTCTGTTCTATAGATAATAATCCATTGATTATAGATTCAAATGTGCAAAATATAACTGGAAAACTTGCAGAATTCACCGTGGGGTTATTTTTGGACAAAGAATAGGCAGTTGTTGATGTAAGGAAAAGAGAAAACAAGAAACTAACAAATTCAAATATATTAAAATTAGAGAGTTAAAAGACAAAAAACCTAACACAAATCAGCAATACATACAATATTAAAAAATTAATGCTCACAGTAAAAATAAATGAATAAATAATTTTCCTATATGAAAGAAGATTCATCTCCTTGGTAATAGAATACTCAAAAAAATAATATAGATAATATTTAACATTGAATACAAAGTAAAAGATTAGTCAGTTAGAGAATTCCAAGTGTTGCTGACCACAGCTAACAAATAATTGTGCATAAATAAAGGAAGAGCCTGTGGATACCCTTTATTGCTATTTAATGTGATTTGGAATTTTCCAGAATCCACAGTCTAGTCATTTTTCTATACTGTCCAGAACATTTATTGTGCACTTACATTTGGAGACTGAAGAAAATGATAGGAGCATTATTTCTTTCCAAGAGCAAAATCTTAACTTGAAAGAGCCCACGACAAGTGGATAGTGCATAGCCTTAGACACTAGTGTGTAAAACAAATTGAGGCAAAGACACCACCAATAAACATTTTCATTTTAATTTGATTAATATTCGTATCAAGTAATACATGTTTAAGGTGGTGAATTTCGTGGTTACCCTGATTTGATCATTACACAATGTATGCATGTATGGAAATTTTACATTGCATACCATAAATATGTAAATTACTATTTGTCAATCAGAAATAAAACTGAAAAAAAGATACCAAACAAAAATAAAAATAAGAGAATTATATACCAGGACAAAAGTAATAAATTAAACCTGATTGAATGTTGGAACTTCAAGCCACCACCTTTTCTTCCCTCACCCTCTACATTTCACATTCTTTGACTATCCTTAGGAAGTACAGTTGCCTTTCCTTGGAATCATTAGTAAAGATTCATGAGCTGCTCGCTTGGCTGCTTAAGCATGTATGTTATAACACCCAAAGAATAATGAAAACGCTGTTCAAAATTTATGGCATGAAGGAAAATAATGAGCTCGAATTATTTTTAATTAACTTATTGTTGAAGTCCTGTTTCTTCTGTCTCCTGTATGTGAGGTAAAAATTTTGGGAATTTATTAATATTAAAAGTATCATTTAATGAGGAAGAAAATAGAGACCTCTGTGCACTTGAATGATAACTCACACATATTTCTGGCTTAGAATGTAAGGAGATGGAAGTGGAATAATGTTTTTATTTTAGGCAGGAGCCTCTCAGAATAAATGCAATGGGTTAATAAGGCAAGAGAGCCTCAGGAGGCTACTTTCTTCTCCCTTTCCTCAGAATGGGCTGTGACTCATCAGGGCTTCTTCCATCACATGCCCCCTCTTTGCAATTGATGTCACAAAGCTCTGCTGACACTCTCTGTGACAGAGCTGTTTGGAACTCACCTTGTGTCCCCATCCTGAGCTGCAAACTCCCATCTCTCCACCTGGGAAGCAGCTCCTATGGCCGATCCCCACGTGCAGGGTGCCCTTGGCTTCTGTCCCCGCTGACAGCCCCAGACAGAGGAGACAGAAATCTTGAGGTGGGATTTGAGCTTCTTCCAGAGTGAGTCTGTCCCATAAGGGCTACACCTCAGCCTAGAGGATGTGCCCAAAATGCCTGTCACCAAATATTCAAAGACCCTGTGAGGTACATCCTCTA